GAGTTGTATCGTATTAAGGCGGGGCTTAGGCGAAATCTCCGGTCACCTTCGCATGAAGTCGGTGAGGCTCGGTAGGCTTAGAAGTTAAGGGGATATTCCCGATAAGGGATATTTCATAAGGGGATATATCACATTTCATTAAGGGGATATTTCATATGATTCATTATAGGTAGCATTTAAAACTTTTATATGAAAATTCAAAAAACGTTTAAAGCAAATTGGAAACATTTTTCGGGCTTGTCCGAGATTATTCAAATTGATCTGATTTAACAAACTTGTTATATTGATACATTTCCAACGCATTTAATAGTGATTTAACAAAAAAAAATGTTATTGACCAACGTAAATTAATGAATAAATTGCAGGTATTAATAATAGATATAATAATTTCGATTATAAAATAATTTAAGGAGCATAATCCTGGAGAATAATCCTATATTTCCAGAGGCTTTCAAATTGTTTTTTTTTGTTTGTTATTACACCATTTACAAGTACTTGGGTTGAGAAACATATTTCATGTTTGAAATGCATTAAAATTTATAGCAGAGATTCCATGAAAAATAAACTTTTTCGGAGCAAACAGACGCAACTAAAATTTGTCGCCTACCCAGTCACAAGGGTCACGAGCCGCCACTAATATTTTCAAAAGTCAATAACTCGGAAACAGTTGGTTTGAGTTACTATCGTGTGTATCTCGATTTTTGCTAGGAATTGAAGGACGAATTGAAATATGCAATAATATAGAGGGGGTTCCATTTAAAAAAATGAAACTTTAATGTACCACGATTTTACAACCGACCCTGTATACTTAAATTTATTACTTGCCAATAGATGTTTAAAAACTCTATATAAATTTTATATTTAACTTTTTGCGGTATCTCGTATATTTTATCTAATAACCGTTCCCATACATATCAGTGACCCTGTATGTAGATGTCAGTAATCTAACGATAATGTGTAGCTACTCTCACCAAATGACAGTTTTTCATTATTTGTTTCATTTTCTGTTTGTCAGTGATGCCACAAGTAACAAAATACTTACCGAGTATATTTCTCAGAACTGGACCCGCCAGAAAGGTATACAGGGTGAGTCCGTGAGTGACGTGACGAGTCCTAAATAAGTGCAAATATTTTCAGGGCTGGTAGATCTCGATAAAAGAAAGATATTTGTTCTTTACCGTTTTTCAAATAAATGCAAAATAACCAAGTTATTTTACTCGGTTATTTTGGATTTTTTTTTATTTTTGGAAATTTCAAAAAAAAATATTTTTTGCGAATAATTTTCTCTGGATTCTCTTTCTTATAAATTTAATCTACTACATATGTTGCCATATTAAATTTGCTTTCTTAAGATGTCACAAAAAATGTGTTTTTTAAACAACAAAAACTTTTAATGTTTTTAAAAAAAATGTTAATGTTTTGTAATGTATGTTTTGAAAAATCAGAACTTTTTCCTTTGAATTTCCATTTTTTGATTTTTTGGAAACTCCTTGGTTGTGTTTTAAATAAAATATCATTAAATAATGTAAATATTTGTTTTTTAAATATTTTTGAAAGAAATGCAGTGTAATTTATAATACTGAGTAAATTTCCAGTTTTAAATTCCTTTCTCCAAAACAACACGTTCTACGCCATTCATTTTTATAGTTTAATTGTTCCCTTTAAATCTCCTTGTAAAATAATTTTATTAGAAGATTGTTGTTATTTAATTAGAATCTACATTCTCTTAAATATCTTTAGCGCAAAAATCAATATGTATATTCTGTAAAAATAATATTTGTCCCTTGAAACTTCTCACCTGTTGCACACTACTCGTAATTGTAGAGGGATAAACAAAACACTAAATAAAGGTATTAAAAGGTATGCAAATACAGAAAAAAGCCGGTGGCTCTCAAAATTTTTCCAAAAAAAAACAATTTTTTTTCAATTTTCAAACTCGGTTATTTTGAACTTATTTGAAAAATGGTAAAGAGAAAATATGTTTCTTTTATCGAGATGCAGTCCTGAAAATATTTGCACTTATTTAAGATTCACCCTGTATATTTTCTTTGTTTAATTGTTCCTTATACCTTAATAAATTCAGTAAATAAGTAGCCGTAATTTTTAATAGAATACATTTTTAATAATAGTAAATTTAATGTAAATCTACTTTATGGCATGGAAATCTCTGCACGGTAAAATCCATTACAAAAACACATAACTGAGTAAATAGTTAGTGTACAGGGTGTTCCATTTTCGTGTGTTTTGAGGGTTTCTCCGTTTATGAGTAGAGCTACACAGAGGCGGTTTTCGCATCATTTGCTACTTTTTTATGAAAATAAAGATACTACACACAGATTTGTCCTTGCCCTCTTAGTTCATGAAATACAGGGCGAAATTGAAAATGTTGCATTTTTTGACCTCCATTGTATCTTGATTATCTTATAACTTAGTAATAAGGTGAGAACTCAGTCCCGTAGAATCTTTCACGTAGAATCCAGTGGCGTAACTTGTTTTTTACTGGGAGCTGTCATTTTCACAATATGACTCAATTTTTTTTAAATTGGACACCCTGTATAATATATTTTTATTTTATTTGGATTGTTATTATCTTTTTAAAACTATAATATACTCTATATTTGTTTCCATAAAGAAGGTAAAAAAATACATTACTTATTTTTTTAGCATAAATCAACGTAATTTAATTTAACCAGATCATTTTGATAAATGATTTTGGACTGAAATTTTAATTTTGATGAAATGTTATCTTAATAAACTGCACTGAAAATGAACTTGTGCAGCTTTTAGATACCACGTCATTAAGAGTTGGTTAGGTTAGGTTAGGTTATATTTTTTATGCAATTGTGCACTAATTTCATACACAGAAACTAGCGTGGCATAACCAGGCAAATAAAATCAAATAAATAATACCCAGGGTATCCGATTTAAAAAAGCATATGTTTGGGTCATATTTCAAGAATGACAGCTTCTAGCGAAGAACTCGTTACACCACTGAATTCTACGTGAAAAACTCTATGGGGCTCAGTTTTCACCTTTTCGATAAGTTATAAGATAACCGAGACACGAGGGGCGTCAAAAAATGCAATAATTTTAAATTCGACCTGTATTTTAGGAACTAAGATGGCTAGGACAAATCTGTGTGTAGCATTTTTAGTTTCATAAAAAGTAGTACAGTGGTGTAAAATCCGCATCTTTGTATCTCTACTCACACAAGATATACTCTGTTTTTTTTTCTCAAGTAAGATTTCGACAGACGATGACAGAAGAAAAGCAGATGACGTCCCATACCAATCTAATTATTTAACTAAAAAAAGTTTCTGATAATTTTTAAGTTTACTATGGATGAGTTTAATTATAAATCCGTCATGCGTAGTCTCTTGTTGTTTTTAACTAGTTTTATTGGTTTATTTCAAAAATGACAGATCGTTTTTCAATTTTATTGGTTTGACGGAACGATAAACGACAAACGGACGTTGATGCGTATGAACTCGCCTTTAAATTTTTGACGTTTGTCAAAGTCTTGCCAAATTATAGGTTAGAATTTTGTGTCAACTTTTAGTCAAATACTGCGTTTTGGAAGATGATGCATTTTGATTCGTGTTATTACGTGTGTTTTGTGTCTTTTGAAATCAAGCGGAGGAAAAATCGAGTGAAGATTAACTGTAGACCCAGAGCCCAGTTTATGGTTAATATTCGCTGCCCAGGCAGAAAGTCTTATACACCAATAAAGTTACCATCAATAAAGTTCGTATACCATCTCGTCGTAGATAAGTGCATCTCGAATATGGTAGAACGACCATACTAAACACATACTAAAAACTGGAGTAGCTATAAAATATCGAGATCACACGATAGGTAAATAATGGATTTTAGTACTGCAGAACAATAATGTCAAAAGGTACTGATTTAAAAAAATTAAGATTAAAGTTAATTAATCAACCTTTAAGGTATAAAATTTGGTAGGTGTTATTATTAATAAAATAGTTTGTTTTATTTACCTATGTTGTTTTATTTATTCCTGTGGAATATTACAAATTTGTATTTGTACATAAGTTATATTGATAAATATAATCACAAATGCGGGAAGTTTCATAAAGCTTGAAAGTAAGAAATAGTTCTTTTTTATATTTTTTTTTGTATGTGGCGTCTTGTTTGTTTTGTATTAACACATACCGTTTTTTATTAAATAAAATAACTCGATTATATTTTTTCAGTTTTATACAGTTTTTTTCACAACATTTTGAAGTAATCACTTGTCCTTGTCAGTCAAATTTTAAATATATTAATTTCCTGCTATGAGTTCCAGTTGTACCAACTTATTTCTTTGTAAAATAAAATAAACTACTTTGAAATTAAAATGACAGACACATCTATCACTGTCAAGGATCTTCTCGTTGGACAGACTATACTGATTATTAATTACCTACTGAAATTAAATATTTTATAAAAATAAAAATAATTATAGCAGAACATAATTCAGTATCTTTGTGGTAAAGAATATTATATTATATAGAACATTTTAATTTGAATAATACGCATACACTAAAAGAAGTGTACTTACAACTCTCCATTTTGTATAGGTATTATGTGGAACTTATATGAATTCTAAATAAATTATATCAGCTATTCCCTCTAACTGTTCTTGTTGCTGGCTCGTTTCCTCTCTATAGAACGCAGGTGTTGGAGCACTTTCGTTGCGAAAGTATTTGTCGCGTTCCAGGATGCCTTCGAAGAAAGCATCGCATCAATTAGTGTCTCTGGTTGAATTATCTATTCGAGGACAATCCACCAGATGATTACGCATTAAGTTGAAACGTGGGTACGCAAAGAACACGTGCTCCGCGTCTTCAGGGATTCCTGGACAGGACGGACACTCCGGGGAATCATCGAGTCATCGAGTCGGAATCAACAATGAAGGTATGCTCAGAAGCAACCATGTCCTGAGATCATCTGTGTCAGGTAGTAGTTGACCTCTCCATATTTTCGACTCAGCTAAACATTCAACTGAGGTAGAAGACGGTACGTCTACCTACCCTATGTTGCAGCCTCGCACTTCTGAGTGCATCAGGGCTCAGTGCTGACGCTCCTATTCGTCGATAAAGGACTTGCCGTTCTTTGGCTAGAATTTCAATAGGAAACATTTCAGCGATAACGCACACCGCATCCTCAGACACCGTGCGGAAGGCACTAGATACTCTCAGGGCACTGAGCCTATATACTGATGCGACTCTTCTCCGTGTTCCTTGTATTCTGAGGGCGTCAGCCCAAATAGAAATTCCATAAGTTAGTACCGGTGTGACTACTGACGACAGCAGTGACCTCCTAATTTGTTTCGGGCCTCCAACATTCGGCATCAGCCGTGATAGGCTAACTCTAACTACTGACGCTGTGGTACATACATGTTCCACTTGCTGCTTAAAATTTAGCCTGGCATCAAGCATCACTCCCAAATATCGTATGAACGGCTGTGATGTGATCTCCTGCTCTCCCACTTCCAGCCTGATAGTTTCAACCTTCTTTCTACTAATGATGAGCACTGAATCGGTCTTATGTTTGACATTTGCAGCTGCATCTCGCAGATCCATTAGTTAATCCTCCGAAAGGTGATGTCGAAGTCTAGATTCACATCTTCTAGATGCTTCGCAACGATCACCACAGCCACGTCATCTGCATACGCCACTAGTTTGACATTCCTCGGAAGTACCAGGTTTAGTAGTCCATCGTACGTATCTAATATTCCACCAAAGCGGTCCCAAGACCGAACCCTAAGGCACTCCTCCATTTATTCTATAATTCTTTGGGCCGCTCTTCGTGTCGTATTTTAGGAGCCTAGATGAAAAGTAGCTTGCAATCATCCTACGCAAGTATCCTGGTACGTTTTTCTCTTCAAGGACCCGCATAATGCAGAGTGTGGAGTGTGGAAGAATAAATTTGAAAAATCTAAACAGGCCTTTATTTGAAAAGTATACACCTTGAAGAAATGCTGTACACTAAAAAAATCATATTGGATTTTAAAACTGAAGGTACATTAAGTTAGGTTAGGTTTCTGGGTTTGGGATTCTGTTTGACCCCTCACTCGGAGGCCTTTTGCCCATTGCGATACTCCCATATATTATTGTACCAAATCTTTCTCTCGTTCTTTCTTTGCGTTAAAGCACTTCCAGCTTTTTGCGAAGTTTCCGATGTCGCTGACGTTGGCTTCTGCTGCTTCCCCTAGTCCCTCCAAAAACCCGTACCCTAAAGTTCTAAAGCGTAGGTTTTCCAGTGCCGTACCAGCAGGTGATTTATGGTTTCTTCTTCCTCTCCGCACCCTCTGCAATAAGTAGTCGTCGTTGGAAACCTTCCATCTTGCGAGGTTTATTCCCCCGTAAAAGGTGGCCCCCCCGTGGGGCAGATGACACCTGCAATTATGCTTACTAGGTTCTTTTTATGCTCTAGTAGTTGTACACAAAAAATAAGGTACACAAAATAAATACTTCTTTGCCATTACTAAAGTAATTTTTATAACTATTTTATTTAGATCAAATATTTGATTTTCTCAGTGTAGAATATTTTTATGTATATAAACCTTGTTTATATATTCTTAAAGTTGTTCAACCGACTAGACAAATTGTGCTGCCAACTGCAGGACAAATCGTGAACCTTTCGGGGCGGAGTCAAAAATATCGATTATTTTCGTTATTTTCCTCAGAGTAATGTAATAATATAGCCCCGGGTTTCTGCGAACTTTAATAGTGATCAGCTGATTAAGAAATTTAAGCGAAACTTTTATTTTATTGTAAATTGTGGATTATTTTTGCCTGTTATTTTAAGAATTCTAAACCGTATTAACAAAGAAATTATTATTTCGATATGTTGGTACATTATTTATAATTTATGATAATGCTAATTGCTGTTAATTAATATTTAAAAAAAAGTTATATACCTATTTTAATTTGATTTAATGCAGGTTTATAAAAGAATCATTTCATTCTTAGATTATTTTATTCTAAATTGAGTGCTTTACCAATTTTACGATATTTTTTTTTGAAAACATAAAACTTTTTACATTTTCGATGACAACTAATTGGCATGGTATTATTGGTATGGGAATTAGCCAAGAAAGAAAAGAATTGGCTATAACTTGTAATTTTTCGAAAAAAACATATGATACCTATATCGCTGAAAAGCTTAAAGAATGGGGCTCTTTATGAGGTCATGGCCAACTAGGGTTTCCATTTTAAAAGAACATAATGTTTGTGTCATATGTCAAAAATGACAGGCTTTAGAAAAAAAAACAGAAAACACAAACTCATTAGGTATGTGATTATCTACAACTTTTATCTGAAAACTTTTTGTCTAAAATACCGTATGATCGAATAAAAACGGCGTCAGCGATGGCTATGAAATGACGATCGATGATATTTTCCATATAATTTTACATATAAAATGACAACGATCTTGATTTCATAGCCATCGTTGACGCCGTTTTTATTCGATCATACGGTAGATTATAATGGAATTAGAGACAAGTTTTAAAATAGCCAAAATTTTTTTTTTTCGTAATATCTAGTAAGCCTTGAACTTCACATATTTAAGACCCCACAAAACTGCAGTTCTTTCCCCATTTAACCGACTCTCTGTCTCCAGTAGTTTCCGAGATACCCATAGTGAACATCGTAGGAAACTCACCCTGTATAGTATTTAGAAACTAACTATTATTATTATTTGACTAGATTTATTTGATTAATAAGACTCGATTAATTTATTTTAAAAAATAAATTTGATCAGATTTTTTCGTATATTCTACTACCAGAAAACCAAAATTATATGATAAGCACTTTTCAAAGAAGTTGAAAGAAGATATAGTGTATCTATCACAATACTTAATAGAATTACTACAATTAGAAGAAAAACAAAAAGTAAAAATACCCAAATACCTTCACCACTCATCTACAAAATAAACGAATATAATCTCTTATAAAAACACTACACAACTACTTCTTGTACTTTACACTGAAAAATGATCAAACTTACTAATTAACCAAACAAAAAGAAAAAATAACTAAATTATCCCTTCATTTCATCCTACTTAACTACAAAATAATAAACTATAAAAACACTACTAAACTAATTCTGGTATTCTACACTAAACATTATAACTAAACTTAATAAAATTAATCTAATTACTACAACCACAACAACTACAAAGAAATAAGAACATTTTTTAAAACTAGAAGAAACAGAACTTCGTACGTGCGACCAGTATAATAGATCAAGCTAAGAAGCTAAGACAAAGAATATAAAATACTTTAAAAATGCGCATTCAGAAAGAAAAAATATCTCGAAAATTATCTAAACAAACAAGTTTTTTTCTTATCAGTGAAAAGCATCGGCCTCGTCGGCCTTGCGGAATTTGTCGGGTATTTACAATGGTCGAATTGAATAATTACCAGCTTTTATAGCATATCTAATAGACAAAAAGTATCTGGTCGATTAGTAGCCAATTGGCACAGTCCGAAAATTATCGATTTTTATTTTCTCTGTTTTTATTGGTCGCTTTAAAATTCAGAGTAACAAAAAATATTTTTCTGTAGTAAAAGACTGTGAAATACGCCCCGCCATCTGGTGCTTTACATCCATAAACGTCTTAGGTTGAGCTACTTTAAAAATTCATATACAAGGATATAAATAAGATTATTACAAAGTTATTTATTAAAAATATATGGAAAAACCAATTTACATAATAACTCTGGTAATTCAACGTATTTTTAGACGCCTTAAAAGTACCAATATATAAATAATATTCTAGTTTTATATACAACCCATGAATTAAAAATACCTTAGAAACTGATTTAGACACAAAACAAAATCTTTAACTAACGATTGAAAGAAAAAGAAGATGCGCAATTTTATTTTTTTTTAATGGATATTTACAAAATGCCAAACAAAAAAAAAGAAACATCTCTGGCTGGATACCTCGTATACTCCATTGCATCTTTTTTCCTTTAATCACAGAATATATTGCGTAGCTATAATGCATATATTGCGTAGCTATAATGTCACTCTGAATAGATTGACACATCATATGTCAACTTTTGACATTTTCGCATATGGTTTATTTGAAATTATAACTTGCGGTTCGTAACAAAAATTTGACTTGAAATACGAAGTGTGTAGTATCAAATTATTCGTAAAAAAATACTTTTTCCAAATATGCTAATGAGCCACCCTCGTTCCATTTGAAAAAATTGAGTTATGATTAAAAATACGATTTGAGAATTTTCTTACTGGCCAGGACAAGCCACTAAAAATATTAGACGATCAAATCTATTTTTCCAAGGCTCCTTGATTAATTGTTGTTTTTAACATAGCCATGGCACCCTAGATTGAATTTTAAAATACAATTTTTTATTAAGCGAGAATGTCAAAAGTTGACATATGATATGTCATTCTATTCAGAATGTCATTTTCTATCGAATAAAGTAAAAAATACCGAGAGTGCCATTTAAAAATCAACAGTTGTAGTCATTTCCGGTGAAACAGGAAGTGACCAAAAACAATTGAATACACCACTCAATCTCAATATATGTCATATACTAACATATCAAATTTCGTTTTTTTATCTGAAAAAATAAAAAAGTTATAGGGGGTGAGCCACTTTTGAGACGCACCCGGTATAGTATTCCATTTAAAAATATACAACTTTGGTTTGAAAATATGTTTGAATCACCCTGTATGTTGACAAAAATATCTGCAAAATATGCGTTACCATTGCATCCATATTATGGAAATAGATTGAGAAATGAATTTCACAAACCCAAAACGTAATATAGGGCTTTTTCGGAAAACCGTATAATATTTCGTATTATAATATTAAAAGTAAAATATTTTACAGTGCGCTAAAAACATAGAGTAGTAAAATAAAATAACTAATGAAAAAGAAACATATTACGAAAAATTAGGATTTTCCAATAGTGGTTTTCTGAAGTAATTACTAATGTTCGGCCACGATTTCTCTCTTCTATCTTAAAGCTTAATTCAAGCATATAAAATCGGTCGATCTGTTTTATTGATTCCATGATTATTTGTCTTATGGTCATATTATTGTTTTAAATGTGAATAAAGAAGAGTAGTGCCTATACAAACATGTTATATGTATGTTTGGATTATCAATCTGCAGATCTTGGAAGATAACTGACAATTGAGTGGGTTCACTTTATGGTTTTCACATTAGATGTAAGTAATATTTATATTATTATAATAAATTATATCACAATAAATAAATTTAATGTTATATTGAACTTTGTATATTTGGTGGTAAAGAAAAGTAGTAGGTAATGAATTTCCAGGTATATGTGTTCAATTCCACATTAATTTTCTTCTTAAAGTTACATCATCAATAATAATTGTTACCAATCAATGATTATCTTTAATTTCAATTACTCATAAGTATTAATACTACATTAAATTAATATTTCAAATATACATTTTAATTATAGTTATAAAATCTGGGAGAATTCATTCATAATCATTAATTAGACAGGAATTGCTATGAATGGAATTTTTGTTATAAATTTAATAAAAAAATATAAACTCTCGAATA